ACAAAGCTTGGCCAACAGGTTTTTCACCGTTGACCCGGCAAACACACGGCGGGGACATAGTAAGAAAATTTTCAAGCTCAGAGTGTACACATTCATCAGACTAAATTTTTCTTATTTCGGGTAGTATCTGCGTGGAATCACCTTCCTCCGACGGTATTTAGCTCCTCCTGGAACCCATTTTAAAGCACCATTAGACATTTATTTATGCGAATCCTCCCGCTGGCAAGCATACTGCCCCGCGCTGAGAACATAAAGAGCAGTGCTACACCCTTTTTTCACTTGTGCCTTTCAGGTGAACGACAGCCACTGACCGACAAGAACAAAACCGACCCGGGAAACTTGGGCAAAAGCCTCGATCCTGTGTATCAATCCGTGAATCCGTGAATCCGTGGCCACACTTACCGCCCCACGCTGAGAATTAAAGAGCAGTGCTACACCATATTTTCGCTTGTGCCTTTCAGGCAAACATCAGCCACTGAATGACAAAGGCAACACCGACCCGGGAAACTTGGAAGCTTCTATCACTTGTATCAATCCGTGATCGAACCCACAAACGTCCTTGAATGAAATGCGGTGGATTTAAGCTTCAGATGGGTGAGGATGTTTCCATCTTAGCAGGCCGACGTGGGAAGCATTACGGAACAGTGGGTGGGTGCATTAGGCCTGCAGAATCCTACAAGCTTCATTATATTGAGCCGGATGATACTCTTGTCTCCATAGCTGTCCGATATGGCACAAGCGTAAGGGTTGTCGTGGTTTTATTACTTTCACACAGGTTCAACATCTGAAACTACTCAACCACCTGTGGGTAACAGATATTTCGAACTTGAGGACGTTGAAGGTACCAGATGAATCGCCATCAATGGGTCATCCATTGGATGCTTTCGAACTAACGCCCACGAAACAAAAATCCGCTTCCGCAAAGGACGAGTGTGATGAACTTCCATCAGCTAGTGCCTACATCAGAGGTTTATTCGAACGCGTACAACGAGCCAAGGAATCTGCCCGATCCGTTCTGGAGAACAGCAGGTAACTATCTAAAAATCGTTTATTATCCTTATGTTACTAAGTGTCGTAACAATAAATAGTCAAACCAACCCAGTTGTAAGGTTTTAATGCCGTACATGCCCAAGTAATTGGTGTGACACATGTAAACCCACGTTCTAGAGAATTCCGCATTTCCTTACGCATTCTAATGGCAGGTGATGTTTCATTGATGTCAGCTTAACTAACCGTACTGGTTAAAGTCGGAATCAAGGCTATACGAGTTGACGGAGCTTTGTCTAAAACCAAAAATAATGAAGCTTAACTGTGATCTTCGGTGAGAGGGATAGAAAGTACAAAATCGGCCACTCAGTAGGCGGGCGACAAATGAAAACGGATATTTAAGAGTGTAGAATGCTGCCGGTTTAGGAAATACAGCTGATGTGTAAGAAACATGCGCGTATTTTGTCATCGCAATGAAATAAAGGTCATGTTGGGAAGGGATTCCACATTCCTCCTAAATAATGTAAATCCTTCGGCCAAGTAGCCAAGTTTTGGTGTGATAATGAAGGTAAAAGGAAGGTTATATAGGCGTACATTCCAAATACAATATAGAACGCTTTTTCACCTTACCCCTTTTTGCAAAATGGATGAATAACCGCACAATCAAGAAACATAAGACGTGAACCCTGGAAATTCACACTTGGGTGCTTAAAGCGGTTCTTGACTTGCCAATATTAAGGGAACGCTTATAATTCCCGGGGGCTATGGATGCGGATACGTAGGACGGTTGTAGGGCTTAAGTGGCTCTTTGGGCACCCAAAACACATAGTCTTACTGGAAGTCCGCCGTGCAATCGGATAAAAAGCCGATATGATGTTCACGTTGTTAGTTTCTATCCAGATTGGCTGATTGTTGGCGGTGTGGGCACCTTGGGTATTTGTTCTAGGCTATCCTAGGATCCATATCTTTTCTCATTATGGTTCGGTAAAGCGCGTGTTTTCAGGTAGGCTGCTACCGATGATTGTAATGTCATTCTAGAAGATGAGCTGGAAAATCGGAACGAACGACGCTATTTGAACCCGACCTCTGCATCTCGACTTCTGTCTAGCCCTGGCACTACCCCGGTCCTCGTGTTTCCTACGGGTGATATGGCAGTTAGGCACCGAAATGGTGCTACGGCTGAACGATTATCTTATTATTATGTTCGCTCACCTAGCTCCTAAAACCACTCGAAGGATAGTCCCCGTTAAGAATGTATCCCTCGTTGTACATTTGGAAGAACGATACGCGCCTGCGACTGCTGAGATTACATTATCGCTCGGATTCACTGAGAGAGTTCGTTTAGAATACGTAACGTACAAATAACACCTAGGCGATCGGGAGCCGTCCGTCGATTTCAAAAACAAACAAGATACTAGAAAGCCCTCGTGGTCGCTAGATATGAATATAGATCAGTAGATATGGGTGGAACATCTAGCATCTACTGGATACCGAACAACCACTCATTTAGGTACGAGTTTGAGACACGCCACTCGGTATCCGCACCAATGCCATACGCAAAAACTTTTCAAGTAACCAGAGTAACGATGTTCTTCCAAGCTGAACCCAGACAACGAGGTCACGTTCTTCGGTGTATGAACGGGGGCAATTATTCCAGCCGAGATTGTTGTCGCAACTTGTGCTGGTGCTTTGTGATGTTTGATGGTGCAGTCCGTTAAGTCGCCTTTTGTGGGAAGACTAAGTGCTCGGTACACTTTATGTCCAGATCGCCATGGCAGTGAGACCGGCTCGGTTGTTACCGTGCATAGCGCGACAGCGAATTAACAAACTGGCTAGACTCGCTTTTGTCAACAAACATTCTTATGTGCAGGGGCTTACACTGCCGTATTGACCACGTTGTTCTCAGTGGAAATAGGTGGGCAGACCGTGGGGCATTACAGGAGGCTGGATACACATTCAACCGATCAGGAACTGCACAGGAACCTGGCATAGCAAGTCATGTGAGTGTAAAAAATAAGACGAACCGAACTGCATAAATGCTCCGATTTCCATGAGGACCTTTGCGACTTTTGTCACTGCGCATGCTTCGAAAAGTCTTACCCAGATACTGCTTAGGAAGAATTCGAATTGTCTGTCATCAACTGATTCCTTTTTTTACCGTGAATGATCTAAATATCCGAATCGGTTGTGAATACGAAACACGAAAAGGGTGATCAGCCGTTCGGAATTTAGGTGGCCGGTATGTACTTGTGATGTGTGCGACTATTGTTCGACATTAAGCTGTCATCATGGTTGGGCTTCCGTGCTGATTCTGCGAGGTAAACTGGCTCGAAACCAATTCCTAAAAGTTCAACCACGTCAGGAAGGCCAACGAAGAACAGCGAATCCCCGCACTGAAAGAAACCAAATTTTGATGCTGTCCCTGAGGTTAAGTCGTATTCTGCGATAGGAGTCTGAAGGCAGCTAGGCGTTTTCCCCAGACCAGCATATTCATAGTCATGGATGCGGCGCTGCTGCTTTCCCCCGAGGAAAGGCGGGTTAGAAAAGCTTGGTCCTGAGGACCGCACACCCTAATCGCCAAACATTTGACCGTGGCCGCCGGCGCATTATTCAATACGATCGTGATTCTATTAAAACCAACCAATCAGTCAATTTATCAGCTGTGAACCGTGTATCATGAGCACATTGGTTTCAGCTGTTACAGTTCCGATCACCGGAAAACGGGAATGTGGAACGTATAACCAGGCTTTGGAGGCAAGGGCATGTCCAGTTTGGTCGGAAGTTGGGTAGCTATGCATTGAAGGCGATAGCTTTGATACACGAGCACCACTGACTGTGCGATTGGGCCATTTTTGCCAATGTCATTAACGACTGGTGATTTAAGTCCTGAGGTTTCAACCAGGGAGGTGGCAGTCGACCACCCGACTAAGTTTACTGGTCAGTGTTTTCCTACTTCGTTGCCACGTCACAGACTATCCACCTTTCGGTCGCGTCCACTCAGCACAGGGATGGAACAAAAGCTCTGTGAGGCAGGCGGTTTTCTGGCATGCGGAGTACATGTCCCAACTGGCGCAGCCCATAAAGAGTGAGTAATTCATCTATCACACTATTAAAACCGAAGAGTCATGTGTGGTTCAAAAGACACCTGATGTTCATAGCCGCATCAGTAGTGAGACAGTGATGCCTTACTCTCTGCGTCTTTGGCCAGTCCGTTGAGTCAATGGCTGCGGGACCGGTCATCCAAGAAAATGCCAACAGCCGTTGCCTCGCGGTTTGGACTTCCGAGTCAAAGGCTCAAGGTGGGTTACCTCAACCAAACCCCCTTCTCCGGCTAATGCAACCGGGAAGTAGCATTCGCTTTTGTAACTCTTCGCTGACCAGTCTTCCCCGACATCCGTCCCCATCCGTCTGATGATGCAATGCGATCAACCCAATGCCATTCTTAGCCATTTTTCCGTCTGTAAACCAGCCCCCAGAAAAATAAAGCAAAATGACCACTCGCTAACCTCAAAAGATCTGGTTGACGTTGCAGCCTTGAATGTCCGTACTCCCTGTCAAATTGGGCGGCAGGCATCCCTTGCTGAAACCTTTCTTTCCTTCTCTGTCGATGTATGTTGTGTTTTCGAAACGCGCATGTAAGGCCTCACTTCGGTCGTGCACCTTGAGCCGCTTAGGATGAGCTCATATGTTCCACATTTCACTCTTTGGGTATCTGGTGATCTTGATGCAATGGCTCGTAGTGTCTATGGTGTGGGAGTTGCATTCAGTCCCAAGGCTGAAAGCGCTATACTCGATTGGATCCCAGCAAACAGTCGTCTTCGTGCTGTGCGGTTGTCTGGTTCAATCAAGATCAGTGCAGGGTGATGCAGTGAACAGTGTTTGTTTGTCGAATTAACATGCGCCACCACAGACTGTGGTTCTAAGACTAATGACGGGTTTTATCAAGATCTGTCACGACTGCTTCGGTCAGCAAGAAGGACGGGTATAATAGCCCTGGCAGGTGATATGAATGCCGAAAGTGGGCGACTAAGTCCGGAAAAAAGCAAATTCATGTGGTATATTTGGAGTCCATGCTCAGCGGCTGCTTCGGTTACGTGCTGACCATCGTCTGTTCCTGGCTAGTACGAACACTGACGTCGAGTTACTTGGAGATCACCAGCCACAAGATTGTCATGGACTCAGTTGGACCATGTGGCTATCAGTTACTGATGGGGAGCCTCAATTAGAGATTGTCGTTCCTTCTGAGGTATGCCACTTGACTCTGGTCATGCCATTATGTGAGTCTAGCCATCGCTTCGCTTCCTGTCATCAGTACGCGCGCCAAAGCAGAGCAGTTCCACTCGCCAACTTCGGCCAGTATTAGTAGCAAAATAATGAGCTGATTCGATTGAAAATCTACTGTAAACGCATAGTCATGCAGTTGAGCAGGATTACTTTGAGGCTGAATGGAAGCGGGTTAAAGAACCTGTGCTTTCAGCCTTCAGAAGTGTCTGTGCAAGGGACCTGACTCGATCAATTGAATACTGGATATTGTCGGGATCAGCGGATCTGATTGCTGCCAGAAAGGCTGTACGAGCAACAAGCGACTCATAGCGCACACAGACCTCTCGAACACCGCATAGTCAGGAGCTGGGAGACAGAATGCTGGTGGATCGCCAATGCCCTATTTAAACTGATTCGATCCACCGACCAAAAGAAGGCAGGTGTCAGCGAGACATGCGGAAAAGACGGAACGCCATTTCACTCAGGGAATCGTCATCTCGAGCGATGGGCTGAACAATTCGAATAACAGTTCAGTTGTCTCCTTCAACACAACTGCTGGAAGAACCTAGTGAGTTTGAATGGAACGTCGACTCCAGCCCGCCATCAACAACGGAAGTCCTGTGCGAGATAGTGATCCTTCACCGCCAAGTCACCTGACGGATGATCTGCACCTGGTGCTCTTCAACGAGGGTGGCGAGGTCCTGTTGAACGATCTGACAACCATATTTCAGAAGGTTTTGAACCGAAACAGAATACCAGTCAAACGGAGCTCCTGGACCATAATCCCAGTCTTTAAAAATGGCGCAAGACGTCATGCGGAAACCGCTGGCGCCAATTTGGTATCCGTCGCATCTAAGGTGCCCTGTGGCATTATTCTGCATAGGTTGGTCGATTATCTGGAAAAGTGCTTCCGTAAGAACCAAGCTGGGTTTTGTACTGACCGAGGGTGCGTCGGTCATATCTTTACATTGAGACAAGTTCTGGAACAGCGACACTGCTTCGAGCATCTCACCTTGTTATTTTTCGATATGAATGTTGCTTTTGACTCCGTTGATCGTCAGGATCTTTGGCAGTCTGGTGATCAAAGGTGTCCTAAATATATCCCTTATGAGAACACTGTATGGGAACTCCTGTTGATATGTACAAGTATACGACAAGCTTTCACCTGAGATACCACCTCCAGGTGTGTAAGACAAGGATACCCTCTCTCGCCTTTCCTCTAAAACCTCAGGGGTCGAAACGCTCCCAGGACGTTCCCTCACAGACATTGAAGATGCGGACGGTATTGCTCTCTTTGATTCAGATGAATATGCGGACGGTATTGCTCTCTTTGATTCAGATCCTTCAAAAATTCATGCCGCTTTGAATATCCTAGATAGTTCTGTTACAGGCACTCAACATCTGTTGCTGCTACAAGACGAACCGCTCGACGTAGTAGATAAATTTATCTGGGCAGCTGCATAAGCTCCGGTGGACTGACTGGAGGTGAGAATAATTCTGGAATCAGAAAGGCTAGTGGAGCTTTTACCAGCCCCCAGCACCAATGGAGCCGACATGGCGTCAGTTTGCCTGTCAAGGTTTGAGTGGAAGTGACCGAGAATCGGATAGCGGATGACCTGGAAACGAATTTCAGTAAACTTAGTGTGCTGGTCAACTGCCGCCTACCTAGACGGGACCCCACTATTTCTTTCAGTGTCTGCCCTCTGAAGCTAGCAGGACAACAAGCTGCTTTTTCTCTCACACTGGACTCGCTTTGCATTGATGTGTGATGTGTATCAGAAACAAGAATTCAAGATGGTTGGGCTAGCCGCCCCATTACTCTCCACTCGCTTCCAACTACGCGTCTCTGGTGATCCAGAGGCTGCTGCAGCTGGATGAGCAAAAGTTAGTGTCCCCCTAAGTCACCGGGCGGAATTATACTTGCTTCACTGGAGACCTGTTGATAGTCGACTCTGTGCGATTCGTCTGGCAACGTCTGTGAAGGAGTATCACAAGCGGGAAGTTGACCGCTGCCTGTTTGCCGTGTCATCATCATTGTCAGCTGTAATGACCGCGTACTCGTCGTCCAGTGGTTGTAGCTGCCACAGTTTCGTTCACCGATGGTTTGGTGGGGGGGAGGTAGCTGCGCGTTGCAGGCAGGAGCTGGTAAATTGGTGCATAAATGCAACACTGTCAGTGGGCTGTCAAGTGGAAGGGGGGTGGGAAAAGGAGCTATGCATTGAAGGCAATAGCTTGGGTGCACGAGCGCCATTGAGGGCGCATTATCTCCACCGGCTGTGTTGCAGGAGGCCAGCTGAACTGCTCTTCGAAGTGTTCGGCCCATCTCCCCAGTCGACGTTTTTGTGAGTGAATTAATGAGCCATCTTTTTCACTTATCTTTTCGCTGACCGTTGCTTTCCTAGAGCCAGTCGATCGTATCAGTTGATAAAGGGCGCGTCTGTTTCCCGTATTAAAAGCCTTCTCCATCTCGCGAGCTTTCGATGTCCACCAGAGCTCTCGGTCTGTAGCTCTATGGCTCTCCCTGAATGGTCTGTTGCGGTGAGCTAAAAGCTCGGATATTGTTGTGGTTGCCGTAGATTTGAATGCAGAAGTGGACAGGCTTAGCGCTTCTGAGACTCGGGTGGTCGACATGGATTGGCCTTGGTACGTACGGACAACGGTTGACGACTGATTCAGCTGTATGCTCACCGCAGACTGTTTTTGTGCAGTGCTAGCTTCCGAATTAGCCGAGGTTGTCGGGTCACATGGTGTCCTCCAACGGCGTGCCGGCTAATAACTCAAATTGATCACGTTGCCATCAGTTACCGATGGCGCAGATCAACAACTGGCTGCCACTCGTTTTGATACACATTTTTTGATTCCGACCACGCGCTCGTCCACAGTTGCTTCTCACTTCATTTTCCAAGGCCGCGTAACATACTGACAACTCACTGGGCAACTGAGATAGGTAGATCCGCATGTTGTACGAACTTACCAGAATCGTCTTCTAGAGTCTGCCAACTGTGAATTCATACTGGGACGAGATTGCAACCTCCTTGCCCAGTGCTGGGAGTATTTCCTGTAGTGCGGCGCTGCCAGGCCCACTCAAGCACTGGATATCAGTCCGAACAGTGGTATTGCTTAAATCTCGGAGAAATATTCCCCTGGTTTCGAACATACGTTCAGCTGCAACACCCTTTCGATGCCTAGCTGCCATGCCACCCGAAGGAAGCACGAGGACTGGGATACTGTCAGGTTGCCCAAGGTTAAACAGGGGAAGTCGAGAGGCAGAAGTCAGGTTCGAACCACGAACCTTCCGGTCCGTAAAGTCGCGCTCTAATCACTTGGTTTCGAACACAAACTGACCTGAGGGATTATCAGACGTCAGGTGAAAGTGAGCGTGAACCAACCTTGAACTTTGATGGACACGGAAAGCTAAGGAAAGAGGAGAGGCCCAGAAAGCCAAAGAATACTTGAGTTGGTCTGCGTGACCGGTCCCCGGAAGCCATCAAGGATCAGGACGGAGCGACCATCTTGAATAAAGAACACCGACCTTGGACATTGGATAACAGCTGTATCCACCAGCTGCCACTCATCGGGAGGCTTCAACTGACGCAGAACTCTGGCCGATGAACATGGAATCCCTTATTGCCTCGGAGGTTTACGACTGCGTATGTTCCGTCACGAAGAGATTGGACCTTACCATGGTGTGACGGTTTTGTGTACCTGGAGACCCACTGAACTATACTGGGGGGTGTCCTTCCGACAATCACAGGGTCTCATACCAGGTTGGTCAATGGGTAGAAGTCGGACGAACACAGTCTTATGGCCCTCCAGGTTTGGGGTTGGAACATGTGTGGTGACGTTTTCTGTAAAAAAGCGGTAATGTACTTGCGTTTCCAGCCCAACACCGCTGGCTTGCGGCTAGGTTTTGGAGACAGACTTTGGTTGAGGACCCTAATCGTCGTTCTGTCTAGATTTGGGTGCCCTGACTGTATCCCAGCCCTCGTACAACCATGACATTTACAGCTAACAATACTCATGCTACATCGGCCGTCGCGTGGTGCCATCAGCCGGGTCACCTTACTTGTTGCATACAGAAGGACGGGTAAACGAAAACATGCTATTTCACGTTTTCCGTCTTCCACCCTCCCCCACCCAAATTTTAATACTTCCTCCGAAAATCCCAGTACTATGACTGACTGTTTCGCTTGCCATGCATCACACCTAGCTTCAGCCTCTTTACGTCCCCGAAAGCCTGTCTACTTAGCTACCTTCAATGTCCGCACTCTGGAGCAAGCAGGTTGCTCAGGTGGTTCTTGCTCGTACGCTGGATTCCCTCTGCATTAATGTATGTTGTCTGTCAGAAACAAAGATGCAGGACGCAAGTACTATGATCGAACTGACTGCCCCCTCACACTTTTCCCGGCTCTGGCTTCCGCACCTCTGATGATGCACAGGCCGCTGGGGGTGGGTATTGTATTAAGCGAATGAACGGAAGCATCTGTGCTTGATTGGATATCCGTTGATAGTCGCCGCGGAAGCATCTGTGCTTGATTGGATATTCGTTGATAGTCGCCCCTGTGCGGTTCGTTTGGCAACACATGTGAGGGAATCTAGAGGAAGTGAGGTGTCTACCTTCGCCCCAACTGACTGTGGCTCTGAATCTGCCAAGGACAGTTCCCATGACGCTGTGGGTGCCCTTCTACAGAGGGCTAAAAGCCCAGATATCGTTGTGGTTGCTGGTGACGTAAACACCCAGGTAGGTAGACTAGGCGTTTCTGAGGCCGGATCGTCTTGGACTGGGCATGAGACGCACGGACAACGGGGATCGCTTACTTCAGATGTGTGCCGATCACACACTGTTCCTTTGCAGTACAAATTTTCGGAACAGCGGAAATCGCTTGACAACGTGGGGCCCACCAACAAACCAGCCCCAAATCCAAGTAGACTGAATCGCCGTCAGTCATCGATGGTGAGGGTCGATCACTGCGTGGCGCTCTTTATGGAACACCAGCGTGGACTCCGACCATGCACCTGTACTCTGCTGCTTTTCATTGCGCTTTTCGGGTGTACGCAAAACCTGCACACCTCGCTTAGTCATTGACAGGCTAGTGAACCCAAAAGTCCACGGAATTATCAGAACCATCTCCTCGAACGCCTGTCGGACGGTATGATGTCGGATATAAGCGGCCACTGGGAAAAGATATTCATGGCGGTACAGCCCACCCAACCTCATCTAAACATCGAATCTCTGATAGGACTGCTTCGTCGCCGGAGACCTGGTGACAGATTCCCCTGGTCGCCACCACAACTCCACCCGGCGCATCATCCGACACTAGGTGAAACTGAGTGTCTGCGCAGACCAAGAAGCCTGGTGAACTCGAAAGGTCGAGGAAATAGAAAAAATTAAAAGAATGCTGGAAACGTCTGTAAGCTGTTAGACTTAGTTCGTTCGACTGTCCTTGGAAACCTCTTGTCAGCGAAATAATCAGGGACCAAAATGGCTCCCTGGTATGCAGCAAGACAACTTTTGAACTGCTGGGCACAGTACTTCGAACAGCAATTCAGGTGGTTACCTGCTACCTCCAAACCAGAATCCGTGCCTTCAACAGAAAGGTGGACCGTGGGGGACCCGCCTTTGGTCTCAAAAGTGTCCGAGTGTATTTCTCCATTCAAGTGTCATCGTGCTGCTGGTCCAGAAGACCTTCCACTTGCTCTTTTCAAGGATGGCGGTGGACTTCTCAGCCAGTGTCTGTCTAGCCTGTTTGGGTCTATCTGGGAGAAAGAGACCGTCCCAGACAACTGGGGTGAATAGATAATAGTGTCCATTTTCAAAAAGGGGTATATTCGCAGTGAATGTGGAAACTATAGAGGTGTTAGTTTGACTCCTATTGTGACAAGCCTTCTGGCGTCACTGATTCTTCGTCGTCTTACGGTGGCACGCGAAGCCTGGACTCGTGCGAATCAAGTGGGATTTCTACCGGATAGAGGCTGTGTTGGCCACGTCTTCACACTTCGTCAGGTGTTAGAGCAACGCCATTTGTACGGAAGACCCACAATCTTGCTACTCCTTGACTTCAAGGTTACTTTCGATTTTGTCAGTCGGTCAGTGCTGTTAACTACACTTGCTCAGCAGGGTATGCCCCAGAAGTTTGTTAACATAACCACATCTCTGTATTTGAATACTTCTGGGCGGGTGAGTGTACGGTGGGCTCTCCAAAAGCCTCCTTACTAAATGTGGTGTCCGACAAGGATGTTCACCCTCCATATTCTTGTTCAACTTCATCAATGAAATAGTGAGACAAACGCTCGAAGGTCTTCAAAGCCCCGATGTTCAAGTTGTTGCTGGTGAGAGCCTTGTCAATCTGGAGTATGCAGATGGCATTGCCCAAAGCGAAGCACAAGCCCTGCTGAATAGACTGATCACAATCATATCATCTTTTGGCATGCGCCATGCACCTTCAAAGTGGCAAGTCATGTTCCTGAACGTGCAGTCTCCGAACATATCCCTTACAATTTCAAGGAGAATCACTGGCGATTGTGGAAAGTTTTACATACTTCGGTAGCTGTATTAGCTCTGACAGAAATGTATCTCACAAAGTTAGTGCGATAATATCAAAAGCTCGGATCACGTTTGCTAATTTGCGCCACTTGTGGCGTCAAAAAAATCTTGAGGGTCGCATGAATTGGTGTGAGATATTGCCTCTGTGGACAGAGGATGTGACGCGTCTTCAGGTTTTCGACCACTGATGTCCCAGAAGCGTGGCTTGTTTTGGATTGTGTTAGCGTGTTAGTAACGAGATGACTAGAAAAGAGGCATTTGGTTGTGAGGCAGGTACTTCAATTGGGGAAAAAATTCAGCACCACCGACTACGGTGGCTCGGTCATATGCTACGCATGTCGAAACACCGTCTAACGAGACGAGTATTGTTCTCCGTGCCCCCTTCAGAATGGTGCAAACACACAACGCATGACTTTGTAGAAGGGCATGAAAGAGATCATGAAGAGTTTGAGGGTTAGTGTTGTTGGGATTGGGTCCCCGTGACCCCATCTGTGCTTGGCTGGAGGCGTTACAACGAATGGCGGTTAATCGGTGTCAGTGGCGTTCGTGCTGTCAGTTTTTTTCCGGATTCATTAAACGCTTGGAGGTGTGAGCACCTCAGAACACTTGACACAGTCCAGCACTAAGTCCCCTCCCTCACCCACTATTTTCCCCTTCTTTTCACTTTATATCTTTAACTATGATTAGACTAACCTTATGGTTGTACGACAGTGAAGCATCAGTGTCAACACTGATGTTGCTGTCTTTGATTATGATGATTTTGACTGCATGTGTTCTCTAAAGCGCCAACGAGCTACTAGTCTAGATAACCTCCCACCCGCATGGTTCAAAGATAGGGGTAAGGTCCTCAGGCAGCGCTTGTCTGATCTGTTTTCCTGCACTTAGGAAAAGAAGACTGTCCCAGATAACTGGAGAGAGTCGGTGATAGTGTCCATTTTAAAAAAGAGCTCGTAGTGAGTGTGGTGACCACAGGGGGATCAGTTTGACCACGGTCGTAACAAAGCTGTCCGCGTCACTTGTGCATCGTCACCTTGTGGTTGCTCGTAAAACACTGACTCCAGAGCAGTAAGCGGGATTTCGGCCTGCTAGGGATTGTATTGACCGAATTTTCACACCGTCAGGTGCTAGAGCAACTTCTTACGTACATACTACCCACAATTTTAGTATTCTTGGATTTTCAAGGTGCATTCGGCTTGGTTGACCGGTCTGTTCTCCTTGATACACTTGCCTATCAAGAAATGTCCCGGGCGTTTGTGAACATAAGTTCTTTGCATTCTCAGACTTTTGGAGAGTTCTCCAAAAGCTTCCGTATATAGATTGGAGTCGATCAGGAGTTCCCACTCTCTCCATTCCTATTTAGTTTCGTGACCGATGAAATAGTGAGACGGAAGCTGGAAGCTCTTTAAAACCCTGGTGTTCATCTAGCAGCTGACAAAAACCTTGGAATATGCAGATGACACAGCTTTCCTTTTCGAAGGGTAGAAAGCGCAGGTGTTTCTTGAATGTACTGGCCAAAGTCATTCCATCCTTTGGTATGCACTTTCCACCTGCAAAGTGTAAGGTCATTTCACTGAACATGCAGTCACTGAACGCACCACTCACATTCCAGCGAGGGGCACTCGAAGTGGTGGAACATTTTACATATCTTGGAGGTTGTATTAGCTCCGATTATGGTGTGACAGACGAGATCAATGCACGAATCTGCAATTCTTAGATTAACTATTTTGAGACACCTGTGGCTTCAAAGGGGTGTGTCCCTGAATCTCAAAGGAGGCATTTGTCAGGCTACAGTACGGGTTATTTTTGTACGGCTGTGAACGGAACTGAAAATTCTTGGTATTCGACAACCGTTGTCTTGGAACCATAGCTCGTGTGGGTTGGTGCCGGTGAATCCGAGACGACTAGAAAACGAGTTTTCAGTTGTGCATTAGAGTTGTCCATTGAAGACTAGGTCCAGCTCCGGAAGCTGCGTTGGTTAGGCCATGCAATGTGCATGTCGGAACATCGTTTGCCGAAGAGAGTGCTATTCTTCGTGCCTCATTCGGAGTGACGGAAACAGAGGTGGGCAAATCTTGACCTAGCCGATAGGTATGTTCATTTGCGGGTAACTCATAGAAATAATGCAAGGCACTCAGTGAAAATAAGTTTGGCAAAAATTTTCAAGCCCCGTGACTGAAGTGCACTCGGTTTCCAGATCCCTTCATCGAACCCAGGAGGGTCTCATGGTAGGGTTGAATGTGGACATTTTCGCTACCCTTCTGAAACGATCAATGCAGGACGCTTCCCTGATTCTAGCCGTTTCTCCTCTTCAATAAAACTCGGGTTTCGAACATTGTCATTATTCCTTTATTCAACTAGCAGCACCATAGTCATCTCGTGGTTTCACAACCTGACAAATGCAAATTCGAAGCGTTTTTGGTCCACACTTTAGCTGTGCTATGTCAAATCTTGAAGCAATCGAGTGCACTCCTGAAATAGTACAGGTGAAAATTCTACAGGTTTTTTTCCAGTCTGATCAGATCGTCTATAGTGTCTGTATTAACCGGGCATATTTGCTGAGTAGTGTTGCAGTGTGTCCATGATCCTAGAATTCTCCACCTGGTATTCCAGTCCTTGAGTCATATGCATCCCGAAGGACGATAGCAGTCCACGATTCGCAACTGCCCTTAATCAATGGTTTCTCTAACCTTCACCTTCTGTTTGTCAGCACTCCCGAACCTCGTAAGGTCAGTTCACTCCAATATTTCCCTTTATCTCCTTTCTAGGTTGTCAGAAATCCTATCAGAAACCAACTACAATCTTCAGCCTGAGGTACGTCGCTCTAGTCAGGCCGTTGGAACTCCTGCCGTCATGGTAGCCAGTTCGTCCAGCGTCTCTCTAAATTCCCAGTGGCGCGCACCCCCAAATAAACCTTCCTGCTCCACTCCTGAAACGTGGAACAGTAACTGCGATCTGTGAACGTTGTACTCTTCGAATCCATTCCTATTTTGTCCCATTATCACTGTCATTTCTTCTCCTGTCCCGAGAAGTACTCATCTGGTTTTTCACACTGGTCGTGTCCAAGCTTTTTGACCTCGCCTTGTCGTTCTGTGATATGCTCTGATTTATCGTCATTTTTCATCTCGGAAGGAAACCTGTTCCATTTCTGGTCTATAGCAAACTTGCTTATAAACAGCAGTCTGTAAATATTGATGGAATAAACTATCTTCTCTCTATTTCCGTTTGTAACAATACAACGTAAAGGCCTTTTCAGCCAAGCTTATTTATTGAGAACTTGTCTAATCTATCTTGTTTTTTGTTGACAGCGTGAAGAGATTTGGGAAATTTGATTCAAGTTTTCGTCCTTTAATTCAAGCCACGCCATACTGAAAATCCCGAAATCACTTAACAGTTGTTTCCTACTTATTGAGAATCATCAGCAATACACATCTAATGAAAATCCAGAGAGTTTCGAACCCGCAACCTTCATGTGTTCGTGGTTTCCGCACCATCACACACCTAGACTAACCGCGAATTTTTTGAACAACTGTTTTGTCTTTTCTTGGACGAATATGCCTATCTCACAATCCCTCAGTGTGTCCCGTGCCGTCCAATTGGACGTATGAGGTCGACGATCATGCGCAATATGAATCTGCACCGAATAGGGTAATCCTCCACCAGAGAGACCACCATGACCCACGGGGAAACGAACTCCCTGTGCATCACTTTAAGGACAAGTAACCTTTTGGATTTATCAGGTTATATTCCACCACCATCATCAGCGAAACACCAACCTTTACACATCCTGCCGCAATGGCCTCTGGATCTCGAGATTTGCGCAACCGCCTTTGACGTTCGTCCGCAGATTAGCTACCATAGTGTGTACGCGGTGTAAGTTAGAGCACACGTTATTTTGGCTTACCTGCGGTCCCATGCCTCTTCAAACTCCATCACTGATAACATACTACCAGGGTTCAACACTGATGCTTCGCAGGTGTCACGGTTGTACGTGGGTGGGATACTGCCAGGGCACCCAGACCTAGATAGGCGAACGAGCAGTATCCTCGGACAAAAACCTGACCGTAGGCGGTGATGTTTTATGGGAAATGCAGCTGCCTCTCTATTTCTAAAGAACAGTTTGCCACATATGTTCCAATCTCCAGCCTGGACAACCAGGAGTCTGCGTTGGTCAGAGCCCTAATCGTTGACCAACCTGGTATGAAGGAATGCGAGTTTCGCACGGACAACCCAGGTATCGCTCAGTGGGTCGCGGTGACACGCAAACCGCCACACCACCGTGAGGTCCAGAATCCTCGTGGTGGCCTAGGATGTGTGCACGACATCATCTGCAGAGACATGTCGCAAGTGAAATACGGACTGGTGGAAATGATGCTTGAACATGAGATGCGGTGCACGACACGTCGCGATCTGTTGAGGCCCCAACAATCGTTGTTGTTGCTTTAGGATTTTGCAGCTTAATCTTTCTGGGAAAACTGCTTTGGACTGGTTATCCAATAGCAGAAAGAGAAGATTACTTATGTCCTGCCTTCACTGCACTCTAAAGATCGGTGCGGGGTGCATGGTTATCAGCTCATTCCCACTCCAAGTAGCTGGAAATGTATCGTTTGGTAGGAACAAGTCTTGCTTGATGTTATCCAGTGCAACCCATGACGAGTAGTGACGCTATACTTCCGGAACTGAGTTTTGAGCCCGAATTCTATCAAGGCTTTCAACAGTTTAGAGGCTGTTTCTATTCCAAAATCCCGTTAGAAATCACCCGAGACTTTGAACTGCATTGTTACCCCAAGATATCTTCAGACACAGTTCATATGCACGCCCATCGTGCTTTGTCCATCATCAAAGACAGCAACATCTATGTTGGCACCGATGCTTCACTGCCTTAGGGTGAAAAGAAGGGAAAAAGAGTGGGTGAGGGAGGGGACCTAGTGCTGGCCTATGTCAAGCATTCTGAGGTGCCTACGCCTCCAACCGCTCAATCAATCTTGAAAGAAACTGACAGCACGAACGCCACTGACATCGATTAGCCGCCATTTCTTGCAACGTCTCCGTCAACTAGTCAGTCTATACTTAGGTAATGATTCCACATGATTGGACAAGTTGCCACGGCAGACGACTATGTTCCCTTCGTTCAATTGTTTGGTCTTCATGTTGATTTGAGACGAGCCTTTGTGCCCTCATTTGTGTCAGTTTTGGTGTACAGAACATTTCCGACCGGGTTGTCTTGGAGATTACAGATGGCAGTAGGAAGAGTCGAACTCACTTTTTCAGAGCATACGTGGGTTCTAGGTGGTGGGGGTCACTTTCCAAAAGATGGGAAATTTCACAAGCACCTTAGGCTTGTTGTGGACGGTCGTGAGGGGCACTGTACTCATAATCGCGCAAGTAAGTGCTCTCAATCAAATCTCAATTGTTAACGGTATGGAAAAATTTGCGAATTTTTCAACTGGGATTTCGTCTTAATGATCCCTATTGCGTGCTGCACGCTTATTTACCTCGCGAATTGCATCGACCAAAAATACTGTATTTGAAACAAATAGAATTTTGTCTGTGTTGCTTATTCGGCATTTGAAATATACCACCCTAGGACAGGACTTCTGAAGTAACAAAGTCAGCAAGCAACATGCCATAAAGTGCTTTCGGAAACAAAGGACAAATATGTGCTAAACACCAGTTCGTGTAGATTCCAGGACCGTCGATCGATCAGTCTAACTTTACCAAACTTTGTGCTGGTGCTGTTTGAACAACCCGCATTTACCTTGCCGGATCTTTGAATACGCCAATTCACGTGGCGATCGTTCCGCTCGGAACGCTGAATGAATTAGTTGAAAACGTGTCTGACAACTTTTGGTCTCAATTTCAAAAACAACCCATTTTTGAGGCAACCAGATATCATCGGTGTATACGCGTTCATCGCATCCTGTTACATGAGGACGATCAACGAGAAGTAAGCGTGATAACGTGGCCATGTTCTGGCCCCCACCACCAATACTAGCGAATTTTTATGTTGACGAACGCAGAATAACCAATAGAAAACAAAGTGGACAGAACTACACACCATAAATTGAAGATGGAACGCATGACGGGAATGTGATTATGTAGGGGACAGGCCAAAGCAGAATTCTTGGTCGAATATGTCGGTAATTTACAAGTTCGGAGAGTCGTCTCCACAGCGCAAACAACCCAAAACCAGAGTTTCAAACGTCTTTGCAAAGACAACCATTGTTTTACGTTTTAGGTCATTATTACTGCATTTGACCATAGCCACGGGCTAACATACCTGTGGTCTGAGATTCTGTTTCACGAGGTCGTTGCATTCGACTGTGGTCCACGCAGCTACGTGCCTTCAGTATTCGTGCACGGTAAACTGGCTTCTCCCCATATTCAGTTTGTCCGTGATATCCAACTGTGCCATCGGAACCTATTAATGCTCTGGTTATGAGTGGTCAAATTAAGAAGCGGAAGGTAGCATGCACTATGCAAGACAACCGTTTACAGTTACTGGATGCACCTTCTACAATAAAAGTACAATTCGGAGATGGACTCAGTCAGGAGATTTATCATTTGAGAATAACGGGTATGAGTTCCTGAATGAATGTACGGATGCGGAAGGTATTCTTTTTCTGCAGTATAGCTGCTACAGATGTTCCGTGATTGTCCGCTGACCTGTAGCGTTTGGTTGTCGCCTGCTTTGTGTGTGTGTGCTGCGTCGAATGGCACGCGTATCTATTGTATGCAATGTGAAAACACGAGCGGTCATTCCGGTTTGACGGTTGCATAAACGAAAACAATTTGACCTCATGCGTGGCACATGTTGATGGTGGCAACAGCATAAGCAAAATGGATGGAGAATTGCAGGTGCACGTGTACTAATCAAACTGAGCGGAGTGGTGAAAAAAATAATCAAACAATGTGAAGCCCCTACACACACCTCACGCAGGATACAATGATTTCGCCGAGTCGCGTATGACGCTACCAATCAATGTTACACTAAAGGTCTCGGTTCGACCCCAGCTGTACAGTTGTTCGACCTAAAACACGACAACCAAACAGAATAGTAATCGTGCAGTTGGATCGTATATACTACGATAGAAGAAAATGTTACAATACATATTTGGCTAAGTTGGGGTCCTCATGCTGTTCCACTGGTGAGCACGATAGTCGGTCGCGATTTCAGTGAGGAATTGAACTTTACATGCCCACTCTAATCAGTGGATGCTATCATGAATTCCTACAATACTTCGTGGTATGATTCAAACGTCACGATCTTCTTATCACTTTCAAAATGACTGATATTCACTTTCACATACTTGTAACAATCCAAACCCACTCTGGTACCGAACTAGACGAACTCAAATGAATGCTAATCCAGAGGACTTCGGACAAATACAGATACGAAGGGGTATATTCATATTAACTGCACTACTTACGTCCAATTTGTGTATGAATATATTCCTCTTAAGTGGTCAATGATTGCTCTCAGGACTTCGATTGTGGTAAACAGTAACCCGCCCGTACACTGCGTACTGTTGTGTAATGTCTGTTCGAGTTTCTAATGTTCGCATCACAACTACACTTTGTGATTCAATTCTTTGTCTGACGATTCTGCAACGAAACCCAAACAATCCTAGGCAAAGATTGAAATGCAAAGGGACTCCTGTAAATGGTGAGCTCTAGAAAAGTGGTCCATTCGTTTTGCCTCAAAAGAGAGAGAGTTAGTCTCTACGAATGATTTTCGGTCCCAAAACAGTGTATCCACACCAACTAACTGAGTTCTAAGGGGCGAGAAGGCTCAGTGGTTAGAGCGTAAATTTACTGACCGAAAGATCCGTGGTTCGAGTCCGACTTCTGCCTCTGGACTTCCCCGTCTAGGTTTGGGCAACCTGGCAGTAACCCAGCCCTCGTGCTTCCTTCGGGTGATATGGCAGCTAAGCACCAAAAGGG